AACTGCATCTCCATCATCGACACAGAGACCGACAGAATCACCAGAAAGATCTAGTTCTGTTTCTGTAACTGATTCTGAAAGGTCATCAAGCCCAAGTACAGAAGGAGAAACTGCTACCGAACACATAACAGAAACTGGATCTTCTTTATCGACAATATCTCCATCTTCCAAAGAATTTTCTACAACTAGTGGTTTTGTTTCCTCTTCTTTAGAACCTGAACTGGATTATACTTCTACAACTAATCTTCCTATTTCTTCAGACTCTCCTTCTAATAACTCTCAGTGTACATCTCCTGGATTCTTTCCAAATCCAGATGATTGCTCTAAATTCTACAGATGTGTTCGTATTGGTTTGCTGAATTTATTTACTAGGTTTGATTTTGTGTGTCCTGACGGACGAGTTTGGGATCAAGATTTATTTATGTGCAATTTTCCATGGGCTGTTGCACATTCTAATTGTAAGAATAAAGAACTTCCTACGCCAGATATTGATGAGGATCCTGATCCTCCAAAAGACAATAACATATGTCCAATTGGAAAATTGACTGGTGATCAAATTGCGCTTGTTTGTCCTTCTGGATTCCGAAAGCATCCTAAATATTGTAATGTCTTTTATCAGTGTACATCTGAAAGTAATTTGGACGTCAATATTGCCTTGTTTGCTTGTCCTGATGGTATGATTTACAACGCAGAAAAAATTCAGTGTGTTCTTGCGAACGTATTTAATTACTTATTCTTAGGCTGTAAAGACATTCTCGTTAATCCGACGGATAACTTAGTTCCCATTGTAAGTACTTTATCTCTTTTATGACACTTTTATTTTTATTAGAATTTTATTTATTTGTAATGATTTTTTTTCAGTTGAGCGTTCCGTCTACTCCACTATGTCCATACCCCGGAGCATTCCCGTATCATCCAGGTTGCTCAAATGCATTCTTTAAATGCAGACGCGATCGAAAGGGCTCATTACGAGGTTATCTCTATAAATGTCCTTCTGATAACGTTTTTTCTCCATTTTCAAGAAAGTGCGAACCTGCAAAATATTTCCCTCAATGTTTAAAAGTTAGGGCGAATTATCGCATGGAATCTTCCTCTAGTATGCATATGACTCACCATAATATCTTCTATTTTGGAAAACAGCTACCTTAAAATCCTATATAAACTTAGAACGCATTTACATTTACTACTATCATTACCAATATCTATCTTCTATTGTGTAAAGTAAAGCAATAATTATTATATCATATAAGAAATATTGTTAAAAGTTATTGAAAATAAGCGTGCATCTAATGAAATAATAAAAATGAAATTATGTGTGTTCGACATTAGTATGGAAATATTAATTTTTGTATAAATCTACTCCCCGCTGCTAAATTAACGTTATTTTTTTCAATATCTATCTTAGAAGTTAATAGAACATTATTGTCATGTTAAGCAAGGTTTCTTAAACCTTTTTACTTCATGACCCCTTTTATCCGAGTAAATATCTTCGTCACTTTAGTTATATAGAAGTATATATTTTAAATAATCTGGAAATACAAATTAAAACTTTTCCTGATAATAGATCATTAACTAAATTTATTCAAAAATACGCTATAAGTATAGTGTTGCTAAACTTGAAATTAATTTTCTGTCGTGTCATGGCTAGGAATTTATTATTTTTATTGAAATGTCTTCCGCCCTATAGAGTCGCTGTCTTCATTTTGAGGAGCTTTGATGTAAAAAATAACGTTAACGTTAGAGACATTAATGCATTAATATCATCCTTATAGAATTTAGAACTTATTGTTATTATATTGCTCGGATTTTATACTTTTTGTTATTATTTGACAAGTACATACATTGTTCTCAGTCCTATTTTTTGTTGAATGTCATACGAATGTAGTGTAAGTTAATTATTAAATTGTTATTTTTCTGTTTCTATGAATAACATAATTTATCAATAATGTTGACAATATTATACGAAGATAAAATTTCTAACCTTTGATGAACAAAGTCTCATTTGAAAGAAGAAGATTCAAACGTTTAAATGATCAACCTACTATTATTAACTCGATATTTGAATTACGCGCGAGCAATTATAATCTACCTAACCTATATACCGATACGACATAACACATGGTAGGAACACAGTTTCTCACTTGTGCTTATAGTTCATATTTTGTCCGTATTTGTCGCTAAAGTCGCACATGCTTTAAGCATTATAATGTAATGGAGAGCTTTATTGTAAATAGACTTATACGAGCAAGGTTTTTACTGCGTTTAATTAATTCCAATTATCTATAGCTATCCTGAATCACTAAAAGTTGCAATTTAAGTACTTTTTAACAAGATAAATTGGTAGAAAATGTGATGTAGATACATTCATTTAATTTGTTAAATAATTAAAACATACGAAAAAGAACGTATAGTGATATTTCTTATCGCGCGCACGCTAATTGAAGGTTTCGAAACGATTTTGGCTCAGTAGCAAAAAAGAAACATGCCACGGTATTAATAAGAAGTTAATAAGTGAGAGCGCGTCGTAATAATCAAAAGGATGTATTCGTGGCAACTATTCAATTTCATGCGAGTTAATTTTAAATACACTAACAGCAATGTCAACCTGTCCTCGTTTTCTAGGCGATTTAGTAATCGTGTTAAATTTGGAGGTTATCGTAAAAAGGTAGATTTGTGGCTTAAAGAACAGAGCACGCAGGTAGCGAAGGCATGTACAAGACAATGCGAGTTTATAGTGGCACAACGTATTAGACGAAGTATTCAAATATTTCATCTCTATACAAAAATATGGGACGAAGTGGCTCTTAAAGAAATAATCAAATCGTGGAGAACGCGTGTTATAAAAAATTCTAAAAAATTTCTAATCGGTGCTGTCGGTGTAAGTGTTTATAATTGGGATCATGAAAGAATATCTGACGAGGAAGTCAATAGGTAATAGTTCTTTTTTATGTACTATAACAAAAATTATAATTACGTAATATGTTTATCAATTAAATTATAAATTTCTGTACGTGATATTACATACACATCGTTGTTTACGCTTACAATTATAGTTATAGTCAAGAGATAGAGGGTATTTATAAATTGAAAGACTGTACCGTTATGTGTACAAACTGTCACCTGCGAATTATTATCGACAATGCTAGTAAACAATCTGGAGTAGAATATTGTAAATGTGATGATAGTGTCAAAACGTCTGCTGCCACGAATAAAGATCGTATGTTATTAATTATATTTATTTTATTAGATCTTATATATATATATATATGTATGTCTATTCTGGTCTTATATATATATATACGTGTACATACATTTATATGTATATATATTTATTTTTAATTTAACACTTGTAATTGTTATATTTTTATTCAGCTAACGGTTGGCAACCATATATTGAACGCCAAGACATGTTGGTCTGGAGGAGACAAGAGCCAGATACAGGTTTATTTGCTTATAAAGTATATGGATCTTTTCCGGATGTCACAGCTGAAGATTTCTTACAAGTACAAATTGATATAGATTATAGGAAACAATGGGACACAACTGCCCAAGAATTACAAATTATTGATACTGATCCACAATCTACAACATCTAACAATCATAGTGCTGATGTTATATACTGGGAAATGATTTGGCCTGTATGATTTTAAGTTTTATTAAATAATTACAAATTATATAGATATCAATTCAAGCTAATTATATATTTGCAGAAACTATTTGCTAATCGAGATTATGTATATCAACGTAGATGGGTTATAGATAAAGATAAAAGGATAGTAGTTATTGTTAGTAAAGGAACTGACCATCCTAATGCACCTGTTAAACCTGGAACTCACAGGTATATAAATTAAGAAGCCTAAGTTTTAGTAACATGTTTAGAAATAAGATATTCAAAATAATTACCATTCAATAATATAAAGTTTAAATTCAATAGAGTAAGAACGTATTGGTCATACATGGTAATTAGACCTTACAAGGATTTTCAACAACCAGGAATCGAGTTTAGCTTAACTTACTTTGATGACCCTGGTATGAGAGTGCCATCAACCATCACTGCATGGGTAGCAGTAGCAGGTATACTATCAAAAATTATATGCTATAAATAGTAGTATTATGTAACATCAATTGTATCTTTTTTAAAGGTATGTCTGACTTTTTAACTCGCATGAGGCAAGCATCCAAAGACTATAAACAATACAAAATGATGCAAAACAATGTCACGTCTACTAGCCATACTGTATTGGATCAAGAAAATCTTACCGAATATGAAGATTCACATAAAGGTATGAATAAATCTGAAAAAGATAAAGATATAGTAGAACATGGAGTTGTAGAAGAAGATAATTCAAAACACGTTGAAGTCATAGAACATGACAAACCATTAGAGATTACACAATCTAAGAACGAAAACACTGATACAGAAGAAAATAATTTAGAAGAAAATGAAGACAAAGATAATGTTGCTAATTCTAGATCTCAAGACGAAGGGGGTTTATTAAATTATTTTTTTCTGAGTAAATTATTTGCGTGACAAGGAATTGTAATATGTATTTTAATACATATTTTTAAATATTAAAGTCTTTTTCATGATTTTACATGAAAATAACTTTAATTTCCAACCTCTATTTAATTACAAATATGTTGACTTATTATATTAGTAAAATAAAAAAAATAGTACATGTAAATTTTATTTTTAATTCTGAAAATTTAAATAATATTTATAATATATGAATGATATTTTCGAAATTATTTATTATCATGTGTTTAGAATTAAAAAAAAAAAAAAAAAAAAAAGATAAATTTGATGAGCAGGTTTGAAAAATCTGTTATTAAAAATCTTAAAAATCAATGTAATTCTATCAGTGTATGATTCATGCATTTATTGCAATTGTAAAAATGAGTACAATTAGCTATCAATAATACGTCATATTTATGTACGATACGAAAGTATATTAAAAATTAAGAGAATCAAGATATACTATACAGGAAAAATTTATTATTTTATAATTGACTGTAATCACACATATAACATCAGCTCATATATATATTTTTTTTACTTTCGTGCATTATTCTTCCTGAACAGTTATATACTGTTCACAAATCTCTTTTAATAAAGATCTATCTTTACTTACGATCACCACTAAAATTTACTACTTTCTTATCATCATATATACATCCATTTTCACATGTAATTGCATCCATTAGCTATATACGACAGACCAAATGATATCTCCTATGGCAGTATTATTGCTTTTTAGTACCTGCTAATAATACCTCAGTAACATTAGAATGAAAAATTATATATAACAAACAAATGAGGATTTTTGTATTCATATATACTGACAAAATATTTTTAAAATGCAATATATTTTTATTCGTTAATCATGTGTTTATTATTTCAGTAAAACTGTCGTCATTAAAGCATGCTTCTTCTGCTAACATAGCATAAGAAATAAATACTTCGTCATCTAAATCCAATTGAAAATTGATTTCTTCCGGTAGTTTTTTTGGAGAAGATAAAAAATCAGAACACTCTTCATCATGACATTTCTGATATATAACTTGTTTAGTTATGTCAACGATCAAATAGATATTATTACTTTTGTGCCATCTTCCTATGTTTTCACAATACCTATATAATAGTATATTAACCAAAGAATTTTATATGTTTATAATCGTTCATTTTTAATAGAAATTTGAAGTTATATAATAATTTATTTTACTTGCAATTAGAGTGTATATTTTATTATTATTCGGTATCTATTTTCATAGCATTAAAAATATGAACAAAAGATATAAGGAAAAACTTTTAAAAATGACTCTTTATAAAATTTCTTAATTTAGTATAATATGTTTTATATTTCAAGTTATTAAATGCAACATCCAATCAAAGTCTCGCCAAAATAACGCTGGTTACAAGTGTGTTAATAATAAAATATACAGTCAATATGAGACAATATCATGAATTTTAAATATAAGTATAAATACCTGTAACCGATGATTTCATAAATTAATGTTTTCAATTGTTCGTTATATTTACATAGACGTATTTTTCCTGGTTTAATGATATCTAATATATATTTATCAATTTCAGGATACTGCGATGATGTATTATAGCTTGTTATATTGTTTATCCGTTGCCTTTGTTCTTTGTTAGAGTGTGTTATGACCTGTGCCTCACCATTGGAAAATTCAAGTAAAATTATATCCTTTTTTCTTGGAAAATAAGCTATCAAAGAATTGATAAAATATTCCAATTCTGGTTCTTTGTACATTTTGGGTAATATAAATTTACAATCAGATGAAATTTCCAAATGAGACTGTTTACCCCATTTAGTGGATTTGTATATTCGAAAATGTCTATTTTTTGTATAAACTCCAACATCAATAAATAATTTTCTTCCATTTTTCATGTTGATTATTAACTCTTCAATATCAATTTTGGAAAAAGTACTTAAAATATCATGATGTGTTTCTGTGTTATTTAAATAATTTGTTATTTCCATACAAACATATTTCATAAATTTTCCTACATGAAAATTATCTTTAAAAGCTACATCCTTAATAGCAAATATTAAATGTCTGCTAAACTTTTCATTATTAGTAGAATCCAAATTAATAATATTAAATTTATTGCACGGTAAATGCCATTCTTTTAACATAAATGCACATAAAATGTCAATGAGTGTGTTAGTCATACGTGAGCCATTACTATTAGGATTTAATTCATATAGAAATTCTAAATCCACATATAACCAACATGGGGCTCCTTCTGGTATAACCTAAAAAGAAATTATGTTAAGAATCTTCTTTATCGTTAACAAATATAATTAGTTGTTATTTTACAATTGTGAATCTAATTAGAACAAGAAATTAAGTAAACAAACTTAAATTTTAATTTTAATAGAAAAGATCAAACTAGTCATTCTAAGACTTTATTCATTTTTATAATTAATAAAACCTCATAAGAACATCTTGATTCAGGAGGTCTATCTTTATAGTACCACCAATAAACTTCGGGATGAGCTACTACGAATTTTCTAATTCCATCATTTTGTTGATATACAAATGTACAAAGCATTTCATTATCATTAGAATGTTTATTAGCTACAGCAAGTGCTTCTGCTTGTTTATAAAATTCAGCCCAAAACTGTGATGGACCCAAAATATGATCAGGCATTTTCCTTAAGCAATTTATGTTTAATTCCTTTTTGCATTTCTTGTTTCTATCAATGGGTTTTAATGCACCCATATTTTTGCCATAAAACTTTTCTGGACTGAATTCATTCATTTTTAATAAAAACGCGCGCGGCAACGAACTAAAGAAACCTCACTAGGTATATTACATCAATATTGCCAATATTAAAATTTTTCTCTATATGTATATATATATATATATATATATATATATGTCAACGTTAAATTGTATAATTCAGTTAAATCATAATAACAATAGTAATAATATTGTTGTATTCCATTTTTTAATATAAAGTGTTATATTCAATATTAATATATTTTTTGTCTATGTTTTTTTTTATTCGAGTTACTAATAATTGCATACAACTATTTTGATTGGCCAATATTTTCTCCACGTTGAATTCTAGCAATTTAATTGGTCCTGAGATAGGCCATTTGTAACGTTCTGTTGTAGTGACGAAGGTACAAATTGTATCTCTCTTTTCAGTTCTTTTTCCGAAAGTTGCCATATAAATCTGTACGTTCTGAATTTATTATTTTATATAATCTGTTTAATCTTACTTTTTAAAAACACGAATTATAGAAATATATATCTTTCGAATTGTACTGATATTAATTCTAGTTTTTCCACGTGTTTAAGTGCATCTTAAATTTTTATAATAGTATATTTTCTTATATTAAACATAACCTCCATGTTATGATTATAATTAAGTTCACGTAAAAATAATTTTTTTACTTTATATTTCAGCAGTTTCCTCAGTGAAATAAAAAATGGCCAAGTCAAAGAATCACACTAATCATAATCAGAGTAAGTAAACGTGTATTAAATTAGTAATTAAAAGTTTTTCATTTGTATATAGTTTTTATATTAACACAAAACCTACCACGATGGGCCAAATAATTTTAAACTTTCTCGCAAGTTCTAATTTCTTATAATTTACAATGTTATTTTGTGAATCAGGATTTCTTATGTTATAGTTTTTACTGTAAATATATTTTAAGAATATATGATTTTTTTGAAGACTTCATTTGACCCGCTATGGTAGGAACAAGTATAATTGTGTGTTGAGGATATAAATCTGATAATACATTTTTAATTTTTACATTAAATTAATAAATTGTAATTATATGATTTGTTTCAATTTTTCAGATAGAAAAGCTCATCGCAATGGCATTAAAAAGCCCAAGCGTTATAGGCATGAATCTACTTTAGGAGTAAGCGTATTTCAAATTATTAGGTTATTAGAAAAGTAATTTCGTTTCTACAGTGATACATAAAAAAAACGATTTTTTTATATTTAGAATTCAAAACATTTTAAATGATCGTAAATGGTTTGATAAATTCAATTTCTCAATTATTTCTCTTGGTGTTATGCGACAGTTAATGTCCACTAGTGTCTTTATATTTTCTTTGTTATCTGCTTCAATCAGACGACCTGAATATCATGAATCTTTCAAATTGAAATTACCAATATGAAATTTTAAAAATCAATTTTGTCACAGGTTCATGTAACAAATACTCTCCGTAAGCAATATATAATTTTTCTTCTTGATTGCATTGCATTATTACTCTTATGGTAATAGTAAGCAAAATGTAATAGTAATGTATACTTTGATTCTTTATTTCTGATACGATGCTAAAAATACTACTTAACAGAACAACATATAACAAGATTTTAAATCTCATCTAAAATGTCTGTTGCTAGAATATAAAGTGATTTTGAAATTTAGAGTAAAATTAAATTCAGTAATGCAACTTAGAAAATCTGTGCAATAAGCGAAATTACTTTCTCAAATCAATATTTAATAATTAAGTTTATTTATTTCGAATAAAATAATACCTAAACTAATATTACAGATGGACTTAAAGTTTTTGAGGAATCAACGATTTGCGAAAAAACATAATCTTAAGCCAAAGGCTCAGTTAAAAAGAGCAGAAAAGCGAAAAGCTCTTCGTGAAGCTTCAACGAAATAAGCTGTGTATTATGTTTTCATTAAAATAAAACTGTAAGATAACTTAATATTTACTTCATTTTTCCTCGTAAAATTTATTTTAAAATAATTTGTAATTGATCTACATTATTAATTATATTATAGGCCATTTCAATTAGAAATTATCATATTTTTGTAAATGAATTTATCAATTTAAGTAAAAAAAAAAAGCAAGATATAAATGAATATGATTATAATATAAATTTATTCATAATATTCTAGTAATGTGACAGTCTCACATTAACAAGCCTTAACATAACCTATATATTTAACTATTGTTAGGTGAATAAGTACTTGAGTTCATTGCATTTGCTACGCCTTTAGTACGTGAATATTTTATTTCTCTTTTAATTTGATTCATCGAAGAAAAAGTATTTTATTTATTCTTATAATATATTTATATTCTAAACAAATAAATATAGCTACTTTATATATATAACGAATATGGAGGATCAGGTAGCGCACAGTTTTAAAAATTCAAGTAAACCTAAGCATATTTTACTATTTAGTGGGAAACGAAAATGTGGAAAAGATTTTATTACAGATATATTACATAAAAGGTATAGTATTTTATTCTTTGATTATAATATATATATTCTTAGTCAAGTATTTACGCGAAAGATATTAATATTTATAAATAATTATTTGTATGTAAAATAATACAAGTAAATTTATTAATAATTTATTTTCAATCCAGATTAGGTGATGATAAAAGTGTAATTATTAAAGTATCGGGACCAATTAAAACACATTGGTCTAAAAATTTAGGCCTTGATTTAAATAAATTATTAGATAGTAGCGAATATAAGGAACAGTATCGCTTAGAAATGATCAAATGGAGTGAGTCTATAAGAAAAAAAGATAATGGATATTTTTGTCGTGCTGCTATTGATATGTATAATGGTATTATATAAAAGATACATTATTATTTTTAATTAGATTCGTGTGTAATAGAACATTGAATTTTTCAAATGTTTTTTTAGCATGTGACAAACCAATTTGGATAGTGAGTGATACTCGTAGAAAAACTGATATTCACTGGTTTCAAGAAAATTACGAAGGTCTTTGCAAAACTATCCGTGTAATTACTAATCCGGAAATAAGGGAACAACGTGGATGGAAGTTTGCTGCAGGTTAAATTGATAGCGGTTTGCAAAACATAATTATAATCTAATGTTTATAATTCTAAAGCATACCAGAATAATTATTATTTTTAGGTATTGATGATGCTGAAACAGAATGCGATCTGGATGATTTTGATAACTGGGATTTAATTATTGAAAATAATGGTAATGACGTTGAAACTATTTCAGAAAAAATATTAAAATTAATTAATTAATATATATGTAAAAAACATATCTGATATTTAACATATTTGTTTAACCAGTATTGCAATATTATAAATCTAAATTTAATAATAATTTAATAATTTGCAGTATTAAATTTGGATCTAAATAGTAAAAATTGAAATGATAAACTTTTTTAGATTTAATTGATCTATTAAAAGAACAAATAAATAAATTTGTTAATAAATATTTTTATTTACATACTTATAATTTTACTTTTATTCTATCATTCTTTAATAATTTATAAAATAATAATATAAACTTCAATCAAGGAATATTAATATAAATATTATGAAAATTATCTTCTTATTTGAAAACAAAATATTAATTATATATATATATATACTTATTTACATGACAGGTAGTTATCAAAACAGACATTGCGTGCGCATATGTGTGAAGTTTTCTGCAATTAGAATAATTCTTTGTATGTATGTACTTTAAATGTCGTCGAGAATGCTTACGTTTTTATTTTAAAATTCGCTCCAAACCGAAAAGTAAGCCCTTTTATAAAGAATTAGTGCATTGTTTATTACAGTATTTGAAACAAAGAACGTAAATAGTAAAATGGTCGAACACTCAATTCCTTCCGATATTCTTGACGACCTTAGTAGGTTAGTTAAATCTGTTTTATTCATTTTACTATATACACAACTACGTAATAATTTTTATAATATAGAAAATTTGATATAATTCAATTAAAAAGAATTGATAAAGATAAAAATATTAATAATGACGCATAAGTAATTAATATGATTTATTTTATTGCAGTCGTTTTATTATTAATGTACCTGAGGAGGAAAGGAAAGACTTAGTTCGAATATGTTTTCAAATAGAACTTGCTCATTGGTTTTATTTAGATTTTTATTGCACAGAAGAAAATCCAAAATTAAAGACATGTAGTATGAAGGAATTTGCTACACATATTTTTCAACACATTCCATTTTTAAAGCCACATGTTCCAAATATAGACACGGTTTTAGAACAATGGAGAGAATATAAACAAAATGTGCCAACATTTGGTGCTATCGTTTTAAATGAAGACTTAACAAAAGTATTATTAGTACAAAGTTATTGGGCTAAAAGTAGTTGGGGGTTTCCAAAGGGCAAAGTAAACGAAGATGAAGACCCTTCGCACTGTGCTGTTCGAGAAGTATTGGAAGAAACTGGTTTTGATATATCGAATTTAATAAATAAAGACGAATATATAGAATCTGTTATAAATGACCAAATTGTTCGACTATACGTAATATCGGGTGTACAAAAAGATACTAAGTTTCAACCTAAAACTAGAAAGGAAATAAAGAACGTTGAATGGTTTTCTCTTGCTGATTTGCCTAGTAGTAAGAAGGATATGACACCTAAATTAAAAATGGGAGTTGGACCAAATGCATTTTTTATGGTTGTTCCATTTGTAAAGTAAGTATTTTTATGATTTATTCTTTGAACATTAACAATAACAGTGTAATGATTATTTTTCAAATAATATACAGTAATGTGTATTACATAGGAAAATGAAACGTTGGGTACAAGAGAAGCAACAGCGTGATAAAAATCTATCCATAGCAAGGAGACATAGGCATAAGTCGTTGGGAGATGTTGAATCTGTTTCTAAAAGTAAACGCCAACAACAATTATTTCCTCAAGCAATTCAAGTAAAGAAATATTTTATATTAACTAGGTATACGTATATACAGGGTGGTTCACCACATTTTACCATCTAGATTTACGTTGTTATTATTACTACGCGTAGCAGACAATGTTTCATATGGAGTTGAATGGCTTTGAAAGGGGTTCATTGTCTGCTACGCGTAATAATAATAACAACGTAAATCTAGATGGTAAAATGTGCTGACCCACCCTGTATATGTGTATTCGAATTTACGAAGCATTTATATTGATATATTTTTTTGCATAACGCTTATAGAACGAAGTTGTAGATTCTAAAAGCGTTCGACAATCGAATACATCACCAGCTAGGAGTCGTCGTAGCTTATACGATAATAAAAATGCCTTATCAAAAGGTGCATTTAAGCGCAATTTGTTTGGTGAACAAAGTGGTGATCGTTCGCCATTCACTTTAGCTCAACAGTTGACGGAGAGTCCACAGGGTCAACAGTCATTTTCATTTTTAAATGATCCTGCCATTCAATCGGTTAAGTGCAATGATTTTAATTATAAAGGACGACAATCTGATGAAGAAATTAAAGGTTTGATAATCCTGAAATATATATCTCGTAAAAATTTATATTATGGATTTAATTTAATTGAAATTATTTAAATTATTTGGTCTCTTTTGTTTGCTCTCATACACGTAATTATGAAATATTTTATATTTTAGGTTTAGCAGAAGGAAATATCAAATCTTTATTATTTGGTGATTCTACGCAAAAATTAAAAACAGATTTTAAAGCTATACCTTCTCCGTTTACAAGCATGGAACGTAATATTCCAACATTTCCTCCGCCAATTCGCTTTAGGTTACATGAATATTCATCTGAATTATGTTCTAAAATTTGGGTACATTTTAAATTCGATAAACAGGCAATACTGAATTGCTTGTAAAATACAAAATATAATCATATCGCGTAGACCAACAAACAAAATTTAAACTAACTGATAAATTCGATACTGTAGTTTACTTTTTATAAGTATATTTTCTCTTGAAAACATATTTCTAAGTATAAGATGTATAAAAACTTTGATATGTTCTGTAGATAATATGGTTATAATGGATGATTGATATATTTCGTGTAGATATACACTTACAAAGTAGTATTTCTTGAAATAGTCTTTAAAAACATATCTCAAGAAAATTTGCATTAATTTTGATTATGTTAAATTTATCATCATCATCACATCGCATATTTATTTACAGTAGTGCAATAAATTTTAATGTCTTTATAACTTTTTATTTTGACATTGAATATTTTATATAATTTAGAGCTATATTTCTAATGCTATGCAAATATAGTAATAAATATATACTTTTTTAAATTGCATTACATGAAAAATGATCAAGTTTGCACACATCAAAATACGATGGAAAATAGTATATTTGATATTGTCTTAAACTCTTTCTGAAGTTTTCATCACACAAATCATTTTTTATTTCATACAACAAAAAAGTTGTTTTTGTACAAAAATTTACGTCAGGATAATTATTATTGAAATAATAATGTAACATTTTGTAGATTTTTATTTTAACTAAACATTATATCACAATCCATTTTAATGTTAAAATATCAGTAAATATGTATATGTGTTATATGATCACAATTAAGATCCTTACATTGCTTAGTAAATTTTGTATTTACTAATAAAATGTAGTTAAATATTTTCTAAATGATGGTTCGTTCGATTGATTTTTATGAATAATAATAATAATAATAATAATGATACGTGATCACATATGAAAAAATATGAATAATTTATTTTTCAGATCAAGTGCAATATTAGTTAAAAATATATTAAAACATAATTTAAGAAAGTTTTATAGAGAATGATCTATTATCGTTATTATTTAAAAAAGACTAGGAAGACAATTAAAATAAGTATGAGTGCGCTAATGAAATAAAATATTTTTTTGAAGATAACAGTGCCTGCACCACGTACACTTCTAATTAATTCATTGTTTAAGGCATAAACTATTTTACTTTCTTCAATGAGTTTATTTTTAGTATCTTCATCCAACGTATCAGCTATTTTATTCATCGTTTCACGCAAATCACGTTTTAATTCAAAGATGTTATGATTTTTAAAGTCCGTGATATTATTGCCACAACTAGTTACTTCTTTGAAAGGTGAAATCTTTTGCATAAGTTGCCTTTTCCTTCGTAAAATAATTCCTCCACTAAGAAGACCCATATAAAGGTGATAAATATATGCCATAAGTAAAGTGGGCTCTGTATCTTCTATTTCTCTTAAACGCATCAGGTATTTAATAACACTGTCTCTAAAAAAAGTCAAAATGCATTGAAATAAAACAATTTTCATATAACTATTGTTTTATATATAAAAAAAAAAAAAAAAAAGAAAATAGTTTCATATAAATAAGTTCAAATGAAACAAAAATAAGAAAAAGAATTGAGTAAATAAGTAAAGAAAAAGATGGGGAGTACATTCTTGAATTTGAATATTAATGAGAAAAAAGCAAAATAAACTACTGGGGTGGTATATTCTACATGAAATATATACCTAGGACTATAGTTTTTCATCCATCCCTTTCCCAAATAGTATTCAAGATCTTGATCAAAAGCCTCAGTACGTTGTAATTCAGTAAGATGTAATAATCCAATTTTAGTATTTTTTAATCTAATCATTGCACCTTCTAGATAGCGGAAAATTTCATAGAAGACCAGAAGACCATCAGCCCATACAGAATCATCGAGAAATCCTATTTAGAGGAATAAAGCTTATAGATAAGGGAATATAAGAGTTTAATATGCGATGCAAAGCGATAATAATAATAATAATAATAATGAATAAATAAATAAATAACTGTAGCATAAGCTTGGTTTGTTAAGTTATAATCATATAAAGAAAAATAGTTACAGAAAAAATATAATAAATAAATATATATATATATATATATTATATAATATATTAAAAATATTATATTATTAATTTTATAATATTGTATAATAATTTAAAATTTTATTTTATAATATTGTATAATAATTTAAAATTTTATTTTATAATATATATTTTATCACTCTATATGTGATATGTATCATATATGGACATCATATATATCAAAATATATATGTATATATATATATATATATATGATATGCATATTATATTTTTTCACATATATGTACATACATATAATAATAATAATAATAATGTCCTAACATTATAAGTGCATCTTACCGAATGCTAATTTAGCGTTTACCAAAGCATCACTAATGGCATGAATTTCTCTTGTAGCTTTACGCATTTTTTTACAAAACGTATCTTCCTCCTTGTCCGTCATTTTGTAAGAAGGGTTTGTTTTTTTTTTTTTTTTGTAAACGAGTCGTTATAGAAAAAACTTTCAATTAAATTTGATTTAGATCAATTTATGTAGTCATTTTAACGAATTCCCGCGCGCTTCATAACTCTTTTTATAGAAGAACCATCACTTAGAAAATACCATTGCTATTATGTCGAACGTCATTTAGTCACTCGTCATGTCGTCGTCGTCGTCGTCGTCGTCGCCGTCGTGTCGTAGTTCTGCGTTCTGCGCGCATTCATGCCATAATCAAGTATATCGTTCGTTCGTAAAACCATTGAAAGATGTCAGTACGTACATTCTTTTTTTTTTTTTTTTTGTAAAACAATAAAATTTATAACATTATTTGAAAACATTGAAAATTATACTTTTCTTTCATATTTCATTTCATTTAATCATTAACATGTTTGTTTGTTTGTTTTTTTTTTTTTCAAAAATAATTGTTTTTGTAAACGTATTTCAATGCGCGTGTTCTGTGTTGTTTATTTGCAAGCTTAACTATTATTATTAGTCTTTATATTTAGTCTTTAATCAAAATGCTTTATTTCATTTTATCGGAAATATAATTTGATATTGTTTCTTTTGTATTTCTAAACGTTCACGTTGATTATTTAACGTGAACATTTCACAATTAATTGTATATAGAATTAAAGAAATATTAATTTCTTTAACAAATAAGTTACTATAATATTTTACGGTTTGTTTCATTTTCACAAAAATTAAATTAAATAGTAAGAACGTATACGAACAACAACTACAACAGTGTTTAAATACATCTAAAGAATCATTCAATTTGTCGCCATTTTTACGCTCTAAAATATAGAAATACTAAATCTAAAATATATATAAATATAAATAATATATAAATAAAATATATTATTTTATTATATATATAATATTATTAATATTATTATATATTATATTATATTATAATAAAAAATAAGTAATATATAGTGTAATATATATATATATATATATATATATTATAAAATATTATAAAAATAATAATATTATAATATATTATATATAATAAAATATTATAAATATTNTATAAAATATTATAAAAATAATAATATTATAATATATTATATATAATAAAATATTATAAATATTATAAATATTATAATATAATATTTTTATAATATATATATATATAATTAAAAAATATGTCATTTTATATATACACATATATACATATATTATAATAAAATAAAATATATATATTAGTTGTATTGTAAATATGAATGTATCATTTTATGAAGATTGTTGATGGTATTTTAATAATATAAGACAATTTTTTTCGTGTGACAATTAAACGAAAAACATATTATTTGAAAGGATCGTCCACGTGGTCGTATCCTAGTAATCGCGTTTTACCGCTGTCAGAGAAAGGAATCCGCGCAGACCGCAAGATGTCTAGCTGCCGCGCAAGATAACAGGAGAACATATCGTATATGTATTACCAGACATGCGTATTTTCAATCGCGGAACTTGCTTAAGCTTCTTTATATACTATATATATATATATACTTGTTATATGTTCAATATATATAGAGTAAGTCTCGGAAGTATTATTCGTACCTCCTACTATTATGTCGACTTTTAAAACAATCAATATTTTCTTATAATATCAACAATATTTTGTAATTTCTTATACGCATAAACATTTTCTAGAATAATTAAACATTTAAATTGATATAAATTTTATTGTTATAAATAAACATTTGATTAAAACGAAGTTAAAATTTTAAGAAGTTAATTTTTTTTGCACGGCCTATAAAAATAGTTGAACGAAATGAAATTGAAGAAGAACACGTTTGAATATTTCTAATCGGAAATTGAGAAATTAAAAATTAATTTTTTTGCTAGACAAATATATAATATATGGATCTTTTGTTATAGATATATTATATTTTGTATAATATTTTAATAGGAGAAAAAGAAAATAAATCTTTCATTTCTTCTTAAAACGATATTGGTTACTAACACGATGTTAAATATGCTGTAAGTAAGTAAATATATATATACGTGTGAAAGTGCATCCCTCTCTCTGAGAATGATGAAAGAGAACGCGTTCATTTGTCGTATGTCGTTTGCACCGCTTATGTTAGAGGCCAAGCAGTGCGTTGACCTTCGCTTAGGATGTGCCCATGTCCCCAGGCCGGGTCACATTCGAGTCTTGCGATCGTAGGAAAACATATATGACAGAAGTACTCGTCGAATGTGTCGCGAACTTATTTTGAAGATTCGTTCACATCGAAAACAGTTAAAAGAGTTATTAATTAACAAAAAACCGTATGAGTTCATATTTTCCATAGTATATATATAATATTATACCGTTCGTATAAATAATATATATATTAATTTTTTTATAATATTAATTTGAAACAGAACGCACAAATATTTCTTTATATATGATATTACACACGATTAATATACATAATTTATTTATATATATTCTTTAAATTAAATTAATTTTTTTTTATTTTGTATTTTTAATTACAGATTGATCATCGATTTTCAACGATTCATCCAATTTTTATGAATTTCACAATATCATTCAACCAACAGTGAAGAGAACGAGTGTTTTGCAGCCACCGTAGAACTTCTTAAGTAGTAAGTGAAGACATTTCAAGTCCTTTCAATGCCCAATCATATCGAGGATGAAAGATTCAATATTGGTATAGGTTAGTGATTGTATTCGTAAATTTGTCTTATCTGAAACGAGTATAAGAAATCGTAAATAAGACTTTTGGTTTTGCTCACGAATGATCTTCATTATATGTTTTGTAGATAATTTTATTATAATTTTTATACATATATTTATTTTAGATTAAGTCAGGATCTTCTTGTTTTGTCGGTTTCAATTTATTTAATTAACTATGCAATTAATTAATGCATTTATTTTTTTCTCTTTATTTTGAACACTGTACTTTGCATCAGTAATGCGTCCATTAGATAATGTGCATTGTACATCGTTTCGTGATAATTTTTAATTAATGCATCATCATTCAATATATTCACATTAGATTGAAGTAAAACGTATCTTTGTGTTTGTGTTTTACATTTATAATGTAAGATAAATTAAACAATATACTTTTATTGTAAACATTTTTCAAACTGATATATTATGATACATATATTGTTAATTATCAAGGTTTTATTTTGTTACCATCATTATCTTAAGTGAAAGTTTAATATTTATATACACATGTGTGAAAGCATCTTTAACCTTGTTTTCATCGAAGTTACTTACGTTAAAATCATTCTTGTATCCTTCCGGAGCTTTCTTCTTCTGCTGCCCTGCTTCCAAGTATTTGCTAAAGGCGGTACGACGTTACGAGAGACTCCACCCATTAGACTGACATGGACACGTTCAGTATCCGGATCCTTTTCTTTTAGACAACACTTTAGCCAGAAGGATGAAAAGGTCTTATGGTAGATATAGGTCCTTTTCAATGGCTTCGTCTTCAAAAGGACACTCCTACTTTATGCCCTTATTAAATAATCAATGTTGTAATATTTTACTTCGAACATACAATTGCTATTTAAAGAATGCTTCATTATTATTTCAATTTTTTTTTCAAAATTTTTTTCTTCAATGAACTCGTTTCTATTGTATCAAAAAATGATATAGATTAAATTAAATTTCACAACAGTAAGATCACTTTTACAATAATAATTTTTCCAATGTGTAAGAATAATAATGAAATATTTCTAAGCAATGTATTTACTTATTTATGTGTATGTATAAGTGTACACGTAATAAATTATGAAATAAATATTCATAATTAGTAGCAAGGAAAGAAGAAATTAATTGTTATAACATTAACTGGATTAAATACATAATTTATTTATTTTATGATAACTGCAATATAATGTATAATATAAATTCAGGATTTTATGTTTAAAAATTAATAAGTCGGACTAAGCAATTAACTCGTATGTTAAACTTGTATAATAATAATAATTAAAAACACGATTGAGAAAAATTCATTTATTATTAAATATCAACGAAAGTTGTATGCATTATCTATTATAGACAACATTACAAGCCTATGTATTTTTATTTACGTTGGTAAGAGTATATATTTTCCAACTTCATACCGTCCTGTTCATTCACGGCTCCGAAGTTGTGCGGACCAGTTTTGTTACGAAATCCTTGATTACAAGATCGACAAGCTCCAGTGATATTATTCCTGCCTAATAGTTCACGAAATGTATTGTCACTTGAGTGTCAATCTGTTTTTTATTATGGTGCACTGCTTTACAATTATAAAAATTAATTTCGGCACCGTTGTTGAGCTTGAAGAATACAAGAGGGTGTTGAAATATAATAGAGGTCGATTAAAAAAAAAAAAAAAAGACAAATTCATATCTGATTTAAATATTCTTTTATCATATCAAATGCAAAATTATTTTATATGATGATAGCTTTATTTAAAAATTTAAATTTATATTTTTATTAAAATTATATTGTATAAGTATATGTAATATATAATTAATTATTCTTGATAAAGATTTAGATTTTTTATTGTGTTTTTTTTTTTTTTTTTAAACAACATACACATACTTTGAACTCTACAAACAATACATACGATTAATCATTTATTATATATTACGAACACGTAATTAGTATATACATTACTATGAAAAATGATCGCAGTTTATTCCGCAATACTTGTCATATTGTTTAATATTAATCACCACAAAAAGTGAAGATAATATACTTCATTTTCGTGCTTATTGTTAAGATTAGAATTTTGTAATCTTTTATATCGCATCCCGCGGGTAGAGAATTTATTTGGATCACTGTCACGCGACTCCGGTAAGCTTCTGTTCTCCTGTTTCGATATATAAAATTTTTCAGGAAAAAGCGTGTAATTTCTGAGTATTTAGTGAGAAATAATATTGTATAAGTTAAAGCATAAGATATTTTTTAAGATAATGCATGTGTATTCTCCTTTGTATGATACGATTTAAATATGTATAACATATATATTTATATTTTTAAAAGTACATATAGCAATTGAAATAGTTTTCACGATAAAACTAGTAGAATCTCGTATGTTTACATATCTAAATACATGTATTTATATTTATATATGTATATACATCAAATATTATAAGTATAGACATACATCTATATATGTATATATATATATATATATTTTTATCAAGCAAACATTTAAAAAAAACTATCGAAAGAGAACAGTGTACACATATATACATTTATCATTTGTTAATATAATATTACTCATAATTAACATTATTTTTAGTACCGACGATGGCCCCCCAAGCAAATAGTGAAAAATACGTTCAAATTATTGCAAGTAATTATTTAGAAGTAATTATTTATAAGAAATTATGTCTCTAAATAATATTAAACCATTATTTCAATTTTATATGTCGTGACACGATATATATATATATGTTATATAAAATATGTATACTTTAGTGACAACTTATCTTTATATAAATGAGTTACGTCTAATAAGTTGGTTAAATGTTACGAAGTAGAATAAAAAGTATAGGTCGAGCGTTCTTATTTATCGATCGCTAATTTATGTTAGATGTGGGGGTTCTGCGGATGGTCACACTCGACTGAAGTTACCCGGTCGAGGTCACTAGGAGATCAGATTCATCGAGAAGTCGTTGAATCGCGGAAGAGAGGACCATACCTATTACATTTTAATAAATCATACTTCGGTAAATCTACCTATGATAGCAGGTGTTTCAAGTTAAGAAGAATCTCAAGTAGTTTTGCACTACTTTCCTCAAGTTAAACTTCGGATCGATCATGCATCTTTACAAACAGGAAAACATTGCTAGTAAAACTTTTATTATTGTTTTATAATATTTCTTTCTTTTTTTTTTTTAGTACAATTTTATAGTAGATAAAATTAATAACAATAGAAATGTATTATACAGGTAGAATAATGTTTTAGTTTTCATATTTATATAATTGAACAAGTATGTAAATATAATCTTAACACTTAGAGCCAACCGAACGCCCCACAGAGATCTTTACAGTTTCCACCGCACATTTTTCTGAAGTAGGGTCTTAGAAAATGATTTTATGGCTGGCAAAGACTCCATCGGAAATCCCGAATATAAAGAGCCGTAATAATGAGCAATGAAAGATTTCAAAAATTGATGCATTTTATTATATGTTGTATCCTATATAAATAAGCTGTATAGAGAAAGAAGCGTTTCTCAGATGAAAAGGGTAGATCTACCCGAGCAGTCGGCAAAGTTTTAACGAGGAAAAAAAATGATAAAAATCATGAATAAAAATCGATCGATAAACTTATAGGTTAAATCAATTTTAACAATATATAATCTAGTAAATAATATAATAGAAATATTATTGCTAAATCGAGTCTTCAATAGAATATTTGAACAAAAAAAGGAAACAAGATAAAATTAACCCTAAACGTAAACCATAAGGTCGAGGTCAAATGACCGATTGTCAATTTTTAGAGAAATTTCTAACAAGTTATTGTATGCTATTTAATGAGTTAAACATTTTTATTGCATTAATGGTATATTATTTTGTTGCTATACATACATCGTAAAATATATGACTTTTTTAAGATTAGTCATTTGATCCGTAAATAACTATACAGGAAACTTGGTACGTTTAGTGTTAAACAAACGAGTGATTTATAATAAAGCATTCGACATTATGTATGGTCATGATATATATAAATTCAATTTAAATTAATTTATGCATAAAGGAATTCCCTCTTGAAAAATATCATCGCCTAATAAACGAATTCACTGTGCGCGTCGCGTGATATCTAGCATTTAGCAATAGTCTTGCATATAGGTATTCTATATATATATATACACCTATATTTGCAAAATTCGAAGAATGTTACGTACGTCTTAAAAGTAACCGAGCGACATAATTTTTTCAAAGAAAAAAAAAAAAAAAAAGATTTAACAACGAGTGTTATTATTTATTACAATTTTTAATCCCCTTACCTAATGTGTCGGTGAAATTTTTTCGCGATAAAAAAAGGGAAGAAAAGAAAAGCCTAATTTATTATTTGCTATAACACGATTGGTAGATAAACATAAAATAAAAGAAAAAGTGTCATAGAAAAAAAAAATAAAAAAAAGGGAGTAATAATTCGTCCTTGACCCTTCCTGAAAATTTACGCGCATGCGCGAATGATCGTAACGGTATAGTAGAAGAGCAGAGAGAGAGAGAGAGAGAGAGTTGGAGGGGAAGGAGGAGTAAAGAGATGGAAGTGGGACGGTATCTTACAAAACACGTTCCTCTCTTCCTACTCGCGTATCGTAGCGTCTTCTTTGCTCGGACCAACTTGGACGATCCTCCTCTCGTGTACCTCTCGCATGTAATACGTGCGAGTAGTGTACGAAGGAAGGGTTCAGAAATACTGTCAGGCCTTCGAATTGGCGAACCTTTTACCAAGGCAGCATCTTACGCGAAGAAGCGTTTCGCAAATTTGCAGCATAGATGATTATACGTGCACGTGCATGTGCACATGCATATGCACTCATATAGACACGTATTCGTAAGGTACTTTTGTTTCTGAGAAGCTAATGTATATAAGAAACCTCCACTCCCTTATAAAACGCATACAAATGTACAGTAATTGTATCCCTTTTGCAAGAGAAAGTCCGATCTCTTTTCACCAACATTCGCAATTCCAATTTGTGTGTGTGTGTGTATATATATATACATGCAAGTAATGAGCTTTATAACGGTATATATTTGCGTTGTCTGACACATTTTATACTAGAGCATATATTTTTTATTCGCTCGTTTATGTATTTTATTGGAATATATTTTATACGATGGATAATGTATGTAAATTAATGTGGAATTAATAATTAATGAAATATGGATGAGAATTTGTCGTGTATAAATAGTTGCTAAAACTTAAGATATTTCAGATATGAGTAGGTAAGATTTGAACAATTTTAATTTGTTCTTGAAAATTTAAAAAGAAATTTTATATAATATATATATATATATATATATTGGTAGATTTAAATATCATGTGTAAAATAGAGAAATAATTTTAAACCAATTGAATATGTCATATTTTGTTGTCAGATTAAAAGTAGTAATGGAAATACTAAGAATGTTGGTGTTCAAGATACTTCAGATAGTCTTGTGCAGGGAATAACCTGTTGAGCAATTTCAGTTTATTTGTTAGACGGCTAGCATAAAGTCGAGTTGGTGCACCAACCGAACGAGTTTCGGGATCGATCGGTCAAACTCGCGAGTAACTTAGCATAGCGGCAAAATTTGAATGTTTACGAATCTGCCAATGTGCGCAATATTTATATTTAAATAAAATTAAAAAAAAAAAAAAAAAGAATTAAAAATGATATACATACGTAACGAAAATAATTGGCCAATAAATAAATTTTGAAATTTATAGTCATTTTATAATATAAATACATTTTTATTTCAATAATTTTAGAATTATATGTCGAATAAAAATTGATATGATTCTATTATATAAAATAAATAACATTGCATTTTTAGCTACATTGAGTAAAATTCAAATTAATGAGAGATTTAGATTGAATTTGTCTAATCGATCATTTGCTTAGTGAAAAGAAACTACTGCAAGGGAAGTCAGTACAACAAAGTTACTATCAAGAAAAGTATAATACCAGGAGAACGTGAATGGCTGCTAGCAAACTTTTGCTAGTGAACACGTTATTTTATATCAGGAATCAATGGTTCTTATGCATAGGATTAGTTCTAATGCGGTTACATATTCATTAACGATTTTTCCTTCTTCGAAAAGTTCAAAAGTTCAATTAAAATCCTTATAAACCCAATTAACCAATAACTTTAATTTTAATAAAAACGAGATAGATAGAAAAATTTGTTTTTTTTTTTTTTTTAATTAATTATTCATCAAATTTTGAATGTCTTTATGAAAAGAAATAAGAAAAATAATTTAGAATTATCGTAATGATCAGCATTTAATACGAAATTATAATATATTATATTAATAATACTTTCACAGCATTAAATACGAAATTTGTTTCCTAGTTGAATATTTATTTGTCAAATATGTCATTTTGCGTATTCATCAGCTGACATTAACAGCTGTGACAGACAGGCTTATTCGCGAAACTGCAGAAACTGATTTTTACCGAGGACACTTGTACCGGTAGATAGGTACCCCCTTTGCGATGGTTGGCAACTCTCTCACTCTCTGCAGATATGTGGATTTTCTATGGCGGTCGCACCACACGGTCTCGTATATCGTAAGTGGCTGCGGTATTCGGCTAGTCAGATCGATGAGGCGCCGTCGTCGCGGCGCCTCGTGAACGCCCCAATCTCTGTCCGATTCAACGAAACTCGAAAGACCCTGTTTATTTATTTTTCTTATAATTATTTTTTTGTTTTTTTCTAACAATATTTAACACAACTTAGATATAAAGAAAAATAATCGAATTTACGAATAATTATTATAATCGATTGAATAAAATACTAAATATATCGTTAATCTCGTTTTTTAAATTAATATTTCACTTGCATATATATATAGCAATTTTATTTGATTTAAAAAAAAATTGCACATTATCTGAAAAATAATACAATAAACTATACGAACTTTTGGTTCACCCCAATAGTTTAATGCGAAACTAAATGATTTCATCAAACGTGTCATCTTGTATGTCAGATTTGAGTATTTTCTGCTTTTTAGTAACGTAAAATGTCATATAAAAAATATCTAATTGTTTTCTTTTTTTTTTCATGAAAGCTACAATATCACAGTCGCATAGCAAAAGAGAGAGAGAGAGAGAGAGAGAGAAAAAGTAATATATTTTTATTGTACCCGTTAAGAAGAACAAGAGAAATATAGAGATAGGTACTGTTCCTAGCTTGAGAAAAAAAAATATATATATATATATACTAAAAGAGAAAAAAAAGAGATGTCTATATTCGATACTCGTGACATATATGTAAGCCTTCTACGTGCTTAATCGTCGACTAAAGTCTCTGGATCTCTTTCGCTAGAGAATAGAAAAGAATAAAAGGGAGGAAAAAAAAAATCAAAAAAAAAAAAAAAAAWAAAAAAAAAAAAGAAATGTCGTTTTAGGCGCATTGCATCTCTTTCGAAGCAAATCGAACCACAACCGTGTTAGCTAGCAAATCGAACCGGAACGATTCGATCTTTGGCGGAAGACACGAACGATCGGTATGCAAATTATTGCCATGTCTAATAAGAGGCACTAATGGTTAAGAAGTAAAAGAAGAAGAATAAGAAGAAAGAAAAGAAAAGTAAGGCCGTGTTTTGTTACGGCTCGCCAAGCGTTTGATTATAACGGACTTAATTAAGGATCTTTAATTACTTGTCAGTAGGCGGATCGTACCGCGTTACGCAAATCTTTCGTAATAATTTATACGATATTGTTACGGTTTCTTTCAACGATTCGTTACGTTCTCATTATTTATCAAATTTGACGGCCAAATTTGTTAATACTAAAATGTCTTGTTTTTTTGTTTTGTTTTGTTTGTTAATTTATTTCTTGTTTCTCTCTTTCTTTTTCGCTTGTAATATGTAATTGCATATTTAATCGAGGGGAGGATAGGGGATTACGGGTTTGGAACGTGAGATTATGAAGAAAACTCGATATTCTATCTGGGAAGACACACTGGGCTCTAATCGGCTTTAGTAGGTATGCGGGATGAAGAGACCAACACGAGGGGTTGTAGCCTTGATGGCAAAGCAAATGAGAAAAATCGTATTAATAAGACAATTAATAGTAATCCTTTTTGTTTTTTTTTTCTTTCTTTTTTTCATTTGTAATATTATAATT